CACATTGTTTTACTGTATATTGAATCTTTGTTCTAATAGAAACAGTTGATCCAGCACAGAAAGTTCTGTCCTCTGACTGACTGGTGTTCTGGTTATATAGGTTCTGATCCGATTTCATATTCAGAGAAATGTGATTGTGATTCCCAAGTCTGTTACACCACATCGTATTGCAGAGAACTTTAAGGTAAGATTGCAAATGGCTCTGATCCTGACTATGATTAGCAGTAGTTGGATGAGGTCTCCACTTCCTTTGTGAAAGGTGCCTGTAGTTTATCAGTCTACCTAGTTAGTCCTTGTCAGATAAGGAGGGGTCTCTCTCAGTTAAACTAACAGCGACTATGGATCAAGGGTGAAAGTGAGCAGAACTAATGCAGAAATAGCTCAGAGCTAGCTGTAATTTTGTGTGAGGTCCTATTCAGTGTTTCTTCCATCTGCCTTTTGCTAAAAAAAAAAAAAATGGTGATTCAAGCTCCCCTACACTTAAATGCAGTCTGCTGCTGCAGCAAAATAAATAAATAAATAAATCTGTGTGGGTTAGAGATTCCCAAACTCTTTGGACCAGCAAACCTCTTTCAGCCCCTCCATTTCTCATGGATTACAATGCACAAGGGTGTGCTTTCAATTAAACAATTACAATGAAAACTGTGGATCTATGTAAATAAAACTATTTCCTGACATTGCTGTATCAACAGCAGTCATTAACAAACTATAGCCTATGGCCCACTAGTGACCTGCAAGTCCACAGAATCAAAAGCACAGTAAAGTAACGCAGGAATGTATGAAATCCGTGGACTTCTTATGGTGATCTTGCAGACAGCCAACAGTCCATAGATGATAGTTTGCTGTATCAACAGCAGTAGTTTATAATGTCAAGAAATTTTTTTTTTTTTTTACACAGACCCATAGCTTGTTCTGTATGGCTGTCCAGACAAGCACAGACATTTGGTACCCCAGGGACAATTAGCAGCAGGACACCTTGTGCCACTGTTAGTTGTCCCCAGGGAATGCCTGTGCCTCGCGCCCTGTGATATGCTACAGGTTACCTCCAGTGGGGTAGCGGAGGCTGGGGCCAGCAACAGGACTGAGCCCGACAGCCTTATGTAGGGTTCTGGGAGCCAGGGAAACTGCAGCCGTGTGGCTCCTGCAGCTCGGAGCCTGGCTAACGGCACGCACTGGCTCCACGTGCGCCACCCCGCTTTTCTTCTGCACCAGTTTTTATGACTCCTGGATCTCCAGGGTCAACTCCCCCCCACCCCCGCTCCCACGCTGCAAGGTAGTGTGGGAAATGCCTGAGTGTGTAGTGTGTGGCACCACAGATGGATCTGCGGCACCACATACCACACGCCCGCACTCATCTGGACGTGGCCTATTAGTTTAATTCAATGGCATGTTACTGAATATAAAAGAGTTTTTATGTTATATGTATATATAAGTTAAATAACTCAAGTAACAAAACATAATTTAATTAACTGGAGCACTGAATTTGAGATTGTACGCTGTTATGGGTACCTTTTGTGCAGAGCTAGGCACGTTTGGACAGGCACAAGCTGACCATTTTTACTTTTGCTGCTGGCTTTAGCTAAGGACTCACTGTTCAGGTTTCTCTCCTGTGCTGCCGCTGAGTTAAGTCCATAGCACCACTCTGGGCTTGGAAGTGATACAAAAGAAACAAACAGAGTTAAACAAATAAACTGCCATTTAGCTTTTCCCTGGTTTCATGGTTCCAGCTTGCTAGACTTTTCCCAGGCTTCACTTGCCCCTACTTCTTATCTTTCAGAGGCTTTGAGGGCCTGCGGGCCTTGTGCAAACAAATAAACACAAGAGAGGTCTTGCTCACAGCCGTCCCTGTAGCTGCTTGACCTCAGCTAACTCCAGGCTAACCCCAGGCTCCAGGCAGCCTGGCTCTCTGCCAGTGCAGCTGCCCCAGAAGCTTCTTTCAGCGTCTTTTATTTTCCCCCCTGCTGACTCACGTGGCTGGCTCTCTCCCTTCTTCCCCACATATGGCTTAGCTCCCTTGCTGGGAGGCTCCCTGTGTCCCAGGACCTGGATCCTCAGCCTCTGGTGAGTCCCTCCAGCTCTGGGGTGGGTGTAGGGGGAATGCTTTCAGGCGGTGGGGCCATTCGGGCTCCTCCACACCCATAGTAACAGGGCCAGGCCCTATTACAAAGACGTTTTAAAAAGTGCATTAATAAGGTGGTACCATGAATTGTACATAAGAACAAAAGCAGCAAGGAAAACACATTGCACTTGATTGTAACCTCTTGCAAAACATGGCTGTCATATTAGATTGTGTCTTCCTCCAACCAATACACCAGTGATTCTCCACCAGGGTGCCTTGAGAGCTTTTCAAGGTCACCACAGTGTGTCACTGTTAGTTGTGCAAACGTGATTCACAGGATAAACCCAGAGATTTCAAATAGGAATCTGTAGCATTAAACATTCTGACCTGTTGTGATTTTTTTCTCAGTTCTTTGCAACAGAAAAGTTACACGATATTTCTATAGTCAGAAACTGAGGAAAAACTAAAAGCTTGCATTTGCTGAGAGGTCTATAAAGGTTAACAACCACTGCAATAAATTCTCAAAATCCAATAGGAAATTATTGTACAAAACAATCAGGCACTATTAACCAGCACCAATTTGCTGGTCAAATTGAGAATTATTTTTAAGTTTTCCTCTTTCAAATTAGGATTAGGGGTCTACTTAAATCATGGGGGGGTTACCAATTTTTCTGGGTTGATCATGACCTAAAATTCTCATTTTGCGGTCATTTTGTGATAGCCCTGCTCCTCAGTACTGATTGGCAGAGAAGCCTCCGGGGGGAAGGAGGGGTGAGGGGGCAGCAGCCATTTTATCTGCTGCTCTGCCAGCCAGCACATTTGCCTCCTGGCAGCAAGGACTGGTGGCTCCCACTGGGGCCCCAGCATTTTAATTTTATTTTTTTTTTGGTTGATTTCATGGACAATCCCAGATTTCACAGTTTCTGTGAAATCCATGAAACCATGAATTAAATTCCTAGCTAGAACACTGGTTGCTAACAGTTAAACTTGGAAGAATGAATTGACAACTGAGTCTCTTGTTCCCAGGTATTTGACTTCGAATTGACTAAAGAGGAGATGGAAACCATCCTCAGCTTTAACAGGAACTGGAGAGTCTGTGCAATGAGCACGTAGGTGACAACTAAAAACACTAAAGTCCTCTGCAGAGGGTTTCATAAGGTTTATTTAAAGAAATATTTAGGAATTAGTTTAAGTTCATGGGTTCCCATTTGAATGAAATTCAGCATCTCTCTTCTTTAAAAAAAATGGGTAAACTCAAACTTGGCTACAATCTATGTTATGAACAGGTGTCACAAATATTTTTCAGAGAAATGTAATGTTTAACTGGAGTGAGAACTTTTTTGTTTTAATAACTTAATTTGATTTTTTTTAACTCTCTTCCAGAAGGGAGAATAATCTGAGCATCTACTTCTATGATTTAATCCTAGTTCTGATGCAAGACTCATTCTGTGTGTTTTAAACAATCTGTCTGAAACATACTGTCTGTAAAATAGAGATCAGATTCCCTCACAGGAATGCTGAGGATTGAATATTTAATGTTAAAATGTTAAATGCTGACCTCAAATGAGGGATTAGGAAATTAAACTTGCCCATGCAAGTCCTAGAAGCTGAGATGCTCTCAGTCTGATTGGCTCCCACAAGTTCATTTACATTTTTATTTTTTAGTGCCCATTCTAAAACAAAAAGAAATAGAAAATAGTTTTTTACACATACTGAAATGAACAAGTAACTTATGTTCTTCCATACATTTCCATTTATTATATATGCATTCTGTTTAGCTATGCCCGAGTAGCTCTTTACTCCTTATGATTCAAAATGTAATCCTTGTATTCTTTTGCTTGATGGATTTTTAAAAAATTAATAGCATTAATTTACATGCTGGTTTTCATTTGCCATATCTTTTGAAGTCAGAAGTCTCAGGCTTTACTTGGATCCCTCTATTCCAAATTAATATTGAAACCTTAGGTAATGAAGTGCAAACAATGGGATCAAGTGTGCCTGAATTAATCTAAATCATACCTTCTGCAAACCTTGGTTTGCAAAAATTTTAAAGCTATTCTGTAGAAATTGAGTGATAGAGTAAGATTTCTCTGGAAATAGAACTCTAACAAAGGACCACATTCTAGCAAATAATGTTCAATTTTCCAGCATTACAGAGGCAGCAAAACAGAAAAATGAAACACAGGGCTAGCAGTCAAATGCCTGAGTCATAACCTTGGTGGTCAAACTAATTTGTCACGTATAAGTTATTTAAATTTTTTTCTATGCTTTTTCACTACCTCTACAAGATAGGTGTCCATAGTTTAGATTCTACATGTGTGCAAGCATCAAATGGTCAGTATGCAGTATTACTTCATAATAGGTTTTTTGTGGAAATCAGAGTACCTTGCATTATTAAGAAAATACTTCTAAGGATAACTTATCATTTAAATGATATGGTGTAAAATCCTAAATCCTTGCTGTAGAAATTCAGATCTTGCCATATGTGAATTCTCAATATCAAAATAACACAGGGGTCAGAGGGTGCTTAACTTGGATCTCTTCCTGAAGTATATAGAACCTTGAAGCATGTACAAACTTGTGAATAAGCCCAAACCATCATTTGGCAGACACCTAATATGTGTAATTCAGACTTCAGCATAATTTTTCCTTTATTTTTTCTTTTTTTCTTAGGTGCACAAATCACAAAAACTATCCTTTCAGTGCTGAGTATTAACAGTCCCAAGCCATTCTTCAGAGATTAAGGAGCGGAACTTTCTTCTCCATTCATACCTCTTGATATCTATCTTTCTCACTGCATTTATCCCTCTAGTGCCAATGTAGATGCAGTGTGTATGTTCATTGCTTTGAGGAAGGAAATTCTACAACAGGTCTGAAGAATAAAGCACAGAATAGAGATGAACAGAGAATACAGTACTTCAAACTCTCTCCAACCACAGTTTTGAAACAGTATGAACTATGTGAATGACATTAGTTTCTGCTCCCAGCTGGGAGTGTCAGAAAGTGTTAAATCTTTTGGAAGAATAATCTTGAAGTCTATCTTTTCTGTAAATTCCTGTAGTTTCTGGAAGTTTTGCCTTCACTCCATGTTGAACTTGATATACCAGTTGGTTTCTGAGTCTAGTCAGTTGCTACCTATGTGTATCTCTCCTAAACAATATCTAGAGTTCTGTTTTTTCACAGTATAACTGTTTTTGTTTATAATAAAAGGCAATTTCACTACTACATGTAATGCAGTGGCAAAATAACTTTCTCATTAACACAGTAATTCTTGAGCTGCTGCATTGGGTGGAGTTGTCTCTAGACAAGATACAAGAGCATATCTTTAGTCACATCTGCATAGCCTTCATGCTGTGCTGGGGCATGCTGCAGAATAGCTCAGCGCCCCTGCTCTGTCTCCACCATAGCCTGAACAAATGTAACCTAACAGTCCTTGGAGCAACACTAGGTGTGCATCAGTAAGCAAACTTGATTCTAAGAGCTAAGTGATGGCACTGGGTGCATGCCAAACAACAGCTACAGTTTTTCGACCATAGCTTGTGTGGAATGGGAGTGCTGTACCCCTGGGGTATTTTCTGCTATGGTCAGAGGCACTGTAGCTGTGCCTTTATTGTCTACGTACAGAGCTGAGATGGACAAGACACCGGCTGGTGCCTGGGAGCCAGGTACAACACCATGGACCTAGACTAAAGGCCACATAAGTGGACGGGGGCGGAGGCCTGGGACCCTAACAAGGGCCTAGAGGACTGAGGCGGCACGATACCGAACTGGGGATAAAGGCCCGCTGAAATAATTAGTTGGTGAAACCTGTGAGGCATGGGCATGACTTTAGGGACAGTCAGAGACCGTGAACATAGCCCTTAAGGTAATTGGCGACCAGAGCCACAGACAGTGCAAGAGACTAGACCCCTGGGGATTTTGGGCCTCCTCCCAATCTTTTTCTTTCTAAATAACATCAAAGGTATGGCAGGATAAGGAGAAGGTAGGACCCAAGACCCAGAGGAAGGAGGAGCCACGCAGCCTTGAGGAGGTGTCATAACCAACCCAGGGGCCTAATCCTGCTATACCACTTTTGTTGTACTTAAGCAGTGATGTATTTTGGGTGAGCACCTTTTGATTGCTCCTATTAAATTAATTTGAGATTAGGTAGACTTTTTTTATCTGTCTAAATTTTGTAACTGAAAGCATCTCTCATTTAAGAAGGGTAATACAACTATTTCAGCAAAAACCTAGTGATCTGCAAAGAGCACAGGCTTCAGCCATTCTTAAATAACCAGACTAAAACAAGTATGCAAACATCTATACAAGCCAATTACCTTTTCAGAGATGTGTAAACACCTAAACTTTGACATTCATGAGCTACAGTTGTCCTTTGGCCCATGTTTTAAGAACCTTTCAGCTACTGGTTTTCCCAGTACCTCCTGGCAATGCTTGAAATCTATTATCTGAGATACATTTAGAAGTTTTTATGATGAGTTATGGATGTTTCAGACTTCTTCTCTGTACATGAGCCTATTATCAGGTTGTCCAAGGACTGATTAGAGATGGAGACTTAAATGCTCCTCTGAAAAGGTGGCATGGTGTTAAGAGGGATGTGTGGAGATAAGAAACCAAGCTCTAGAACTGGCAACATAACACCTTTTGGTATTCTTAAACTTAAGTTGGGGGCAAAGTTATTAATCAATGTGTCATATACAATGAAACCTGTTAAACGTGGAATTATACAGAGCCAGGAACATTTTTTACTTCCTTCTTACAGGTTTCTATTATAGGAGGAGATTCCCAGATGGGAAGGCATGCCAGGAGTATACAGATTTCTGGCTTGAGCAGGTTTCTGCTTATAGAGATGCTATCTTAAACAGGTTTCACTGTAAACAGTATACATCCCTCTGCTAAAGGGAGAACTTGATTTGCATAAAATCCACAGATATTGGAGAGAACAAGACTAGCTGTTTACTAACACCATTTTCTGTCCAGTAAGAGGCCACATCATCCAGTGTTTGTGATTAATGTAAGTAAAGACACTGGTTTAGTGTCTAACAGTAGAAAGGCAGGTTTGCATTGCTGTGGGAACCTTAACTTTAAAATTTCTCCTTGACTAATCCAAATAAAATCTGAACTTTAACTTGCTTTATATTTAAAATCAAAGTTAGGTGCACACTTTTATTCCCTAGCTACACTTCTGACGTCTTCTAAATAAAAGCTAATGCCTGAAAATGTGACGTGACAAATTTGTGGTTATATTAATCTACAGCAGCTGTAAGTGACAAACAACAGGGGAGGAAAAGATGACTGTCGCACTCTAAACAAAAGAGGCAATATCTCCCCTCCAGTACTGAGTCTCTTCAGCTAAATGGATTATCCCCACGTTAGGTTCTGGGCTTAAGGACAAATACAAGAATCTCTGACAGTAAATGTAATTTTGCTAAAGTTATAATGCAATATAGGAACTCTGAGTCATCTAAAGAAAAAACAGCTAATGTTGTCCTTGCATTAGTCTAAAAAAACTAGTCAAGGAAACCAGTAAATGCTGAATATTTTTCATTTGGAAGTATTTTTCTGTGACAAGAGCCCATTCTAGCAAGAACCAGTGTTGTTCCAGAACAGTGCATCAAGTTCTATTACATTACATGTTTTGTTTCGAATTGCCTTATAAGCTCTCAGAAAGTTGCCTTTGTGGTTGAAATGTTTCATCCTCTGAAAGGCCTGGAGAAGATTTCTAGGTAGAAAGAAACTCCACAGTGGAAGAGACGCTGAATAGCACTATAGATAATATTGCAAGAAGCTTTCAGTGTTATGCTATAGAATGTCTTTGAGGGAAAGAATGATGGATAAAAGTCAATCAAGGACAAGCAATTCAGTATTTGGCTGGTATAGGGCTTGGATGCTGAAGGGACTGATGTTCAGAAAGGATCAAGCATACACAGAAAGCCACAGGTATTTAAGGTGAGCAGTGGCAGCCTGGAAAGGAAAGCTAGGTTAGAATTTATGGATCCAAAGGTAGAAACAGGCGTCACCCCATGTTGCATTTGTGCTACTATAAAAAATTTTATGGTGGTAAAAATGGTGAGTAAATAGATGTCCCTACCCTTTGTTACAACACATAACCTGTTGTCCTGCATTGGGTCCCTCTCCCTGTGGATCAAGGTATGGCTAGATGCATCCTGCCACAGCATGATGCACTTCAGGTGGCAACATCTGTTTTTATCCAGAGGCTGAGTGAAAAGTAGAGGAAGCAGGCCATTGTTGGATGGGACCAGCAGCAAGTCCATGATGGAATGGCAATACTGTGGGTGCTACCATGGCACTGCAGACAGTTCATAGTTGGTAGGGTTGGAAGGGACCCGAGCAGATCATCATGTCCAACCCCCTGCCATGGCAGGAAAAAGTACTGGGGTCAAACGACCCCAGCAAGGTGTTCGTCTA